CAAAAATAGCTACAGTCGAACCCTTTGTTGGTTTGGCAACGTTTAGAGTTGCACCAAGTCCTTCAAGCACAAACACTAATGAGACAACAGAAATTAACATAAAGGATGATTATATGCCCATGTTTGAGCCCCATTCTCAAAAAGTTCATTTTTTTCTTAAACAAATTTTCAACCATACATTCTTCAAATAAAATAGTTGATAGCATGAAATAATTAAAATATTACTTCAATTGAAATTTGCAGCCGAGGTCCCAAAACGTTTATAAATTTATCATGAGTACCTGCCATTTAGGTCACACGCTTTCATTTCCGGTGCTTATTGGCCCATACTGAATGAAAACTTCCCATTTTTATGTCGTGATAACTTATTTGAGGATTATTTCAACCACCCACGAGGGCCACCATAATAGATTGGACACCCTCCATCAAAAAACAAGATATAGCCCCCGTTTGAGCCACATTAAAATTTTCATTCTCATTCTTCTACTCATTTTCAACCACACATTCTTCAATAAAATAACATTTTCCATCACATCAATAAATTTTCCTTATTTTTCAACCACACGTTCTCCATCAATCTACTATTCCAAAATACATTCTTCCAAAATAATGTGGCTCAAACACACCCTAATTATGTGACCACTGCATGGTCAAATATTTTGTGTGACATGTGACATTGATCAGTGACCNTAAAATAACATTTTCCATCACATCAATAAATTTTCCTTATTTTTCAACCACACGTTCTCCATCAATCTACTATTCCAAAATACATTCTTCCAAAATAATGTGGCTCAAACACACCCATAATGGTGGTTGAATTAAACCCCCAAGTAAGTCATCATGTGCAGAACAAGTGAATTTGATGAAAAGAAATTATGGTTTCCATCTGTTGGGGACCAACACACATCGGAAATGAATGTTGGGAACCTAAAGGCCAAAAAAAACTTGATTGGCAACCATGCATTTATTTGCCTTAAATCAATTCTTTCCATCCAACCTGTGGATATCCCGCAACTAAGAAGACAAACTTTGTCAAGTGGTGCCGCTGGATTAATCTTGGCAACGCAGCCGACATGAGCAACAGTGTACTCGCTAAACGTGGAGNNAACAGTGTACTCGCTAAACGTGGAGGTTCCGAGAAAGTGATATATTGGTTGCCCATTTTTAGAAAACCTCGTCTTGCCATCACTGATCATGACCCCCCGGTCGGTATTTATCCTAAGAAGGCTGCACATGTTGCTTTCTGAAGATTTACAATGATGGCACTCCTTGCACTCGCCAGTGAACACGGGAAGAACATGATCTCCGGGTTGGAGATCTGTCACACCTTCACCCACACTCTCTACAATACTATATAAAAGAAATAAAGCAAATGAAGATTTGTTCAGACAAATAACAATGACAACCATTAGCATAAACAAAAATTTGAACATTCCCATCTCATTGCAGACATACCCTCCAGCTTCATGACCGTAAATGCGAGGGAAAAGCGCTGTCTGCCCCTGAAATGAAGATATTGAATTTCGTAATACACAGAGAAAATTTGAAACGATAAAAAAGTAACGAAAAAACTTACAATATCTCAATGCGTCTAGACATGTAAAGACAATCATCTAAATCAATTAGAAGAAGGACTTGCCGTTCACATTAACACATGAACAAACACTCATGTATGTTAAATAAAAGGCGAAGGAAAAATTTAGAAATTAATCATGTTAAGGAAGATTTTTTTCACACTTATTTTAGAACACCAACTCCAAATTTACTCACGATAACAAACAATGCCTTGTCCACAATAAATTCGGGCCAGCTACATAAAACATTTTTCACCGCTAGTATACTAACATGTTCTACTAAGATAGTCCCGCACGACAATCTCTTTAGGTCCATGCAAGTCCAAGGCATGTCCTGGACACTAGTCATTCTTTTTTAATTTATTCTCAATCTCCAAATTTACAACTTTCATTTATAAAGCCAAGATCTTCTAAAAGTGGTCGAACTCCATATCTTTTTATTGGGATTTGGGAATAGGATTAAATTCTTTACCTTGGCCTCCCAGAAGCAGACATCAGTGTGGCAAAGGGAGGTGAACAGGATCTTCAAGCGAACTTCCATTTTCTGTGGTGGTTCAACCTCCACTTCTTCAATCACCAATGGCTTCCCTGCTTCCCATGCTACGGCGGCTACACAAAAAATATACACACTTAAAATTAATAAGGCTTAACCCCTATATATGCAACACAAATTCTCTTATTCTTACGAGTTTGTGTCTCATTTACCAACAGTTTATAGCTTCCAAAACTGCTTATTTTCCCTCTGGATGTTGACTAATTTTAAAGATACGATTTTCAGATAGAATCGATAAAATAATAATAAAAAAACATTTTAAGCATAACCATTAATTAAAAAATTAAATAAAAATTCTCCACTCAAGATCAGGAATGATCAGATGAACCCATATCAAAATAATCAGAAAAACCACAAAAAAAAAAAATTAAAATAAGTGATTAAATCAGATAAACCCATTTCCAAATAATCAGAAAACCCCACAAAAAGTGATCATGAAGAAGAAATCACCTTTGCATCTAATAACTTGACCAGCAGTTGCAGACATTTCTGCTTCTTTCTCCTAGTGATTAATGAGTGTGCTTTAATGTTGATTGTTTTGTTGATAAGTATATATAATTCTTGAACGAGAATCCACCGATTGTTGGACACTTGGAAAGAATCCACTGCAGGAATTTTCTAAATGTACAAGAAAACCACTCTCTGTAAGCACATAGATTGACATGTTCATTTGCACAAGTCGGAGAATGTCAGTTTCTTGGGAGTCCATACTATACAGCATTTGTCTCTTTGCTATGTGACTTGTGCATTCTACCCTAGATTAAAGAAGAATTTTAATTGGAACCCTGCTACGAGTCCAGGAATTTTTCACAGAAAATATAGAGAAATTTGAAATGAGGAAAATGATTGAAAGATTGAAGGAGAGAAAATACGCACACGAACAGGATTGAAACATTTCAAATTTTTGGCAAAAATCTGTCAAAAATTCATGTACTCAAGGAATTTTTCTTTTAGTTGTTCGATATATGTGTCTTGTGCTCGAATAATCAGCGTCAACCGTAATTATAAATGGGATAGGCGATTTCCTAAGATCTCACAAGTGACCCCAATTTTTTTTTTTTACTATTCACTTCATGGAAAAAACCAAGGCAATTAACCGAGCCAACTCCACTGTTGAATTAGTAAACACAATAATATTTTATCAAAATGTAAGGTTAGCGATGTCGTTCGATTTTTATTTTATGGAAGTATTAAAAGTTTATTTGATTGTATTTGTATATTAGGCATTGAGAAAAATTATATAGTACTTTTGTTCTTGGTCGTAAAGAAATATTTTCCTCCTTCCTCATTGTGTCGAGACGTGAAAGAGGCGTAAGAAAGAGAGAGAGCCTCAAGCCCCGTTGTATCAATTTACATATCTTCCTATTTTTTGGGCTTATTCACATCGAAGAAATTTTTTTTTATCTCTTTTGTTGGAAACGATCAAGAACTTGACAGAACAAATAATGCAACGCACTAAAAACAGAATACTATTATACAACATACAAATTGATAACAAAATTAATATAA